AATTACCGGCGACCTTCAAAAGAACAGGGAGGAGCCCATCAGGTCCGACTACCTTTCCTTTCTTCATGATTAAATACAGCTTCGTACTTCTAAATCTGTTGAAGGCTCATATGTTACTACCCGTCGCAATGGTTGGGATGACCGCATTAGCACCAGGTCAATTGAACTGTTCAATAAAATACTACCCATCGATCAAGTCGTTGTTCTTTACTGTGGATAATCTGTCCACCTTTATCGCAAATTTTCTCACTGACGGGTATGCGACAACCTCCGGTGCTGCGTATCAGGTAAAACAGTCTTTGACTATTTCCTGGTGAAGCATTTACCTCCATCGCACTAGCTATTTGGGCCCACCAATTTTCGTGATCTTTCTTGAAGCTTTTCCTGAGTTGACGTTGCAGGCGCCACCGATCCATATGCTGATCCTGGCAGGTTGGGATCTTTCGCTTTTGATCCATTAGGATTACTGACTCCTGAAAGATCCAGTGACTTAGACGAACTTCGGTCTCGACCCCACAAGCAAAGTTTGCGACTGAGTGCATCGCAACTCTAATCTGATTCCATTGTTGGTCTACTCCACTATGTCGCGGTTATCCCAGCTTCTCCTCCTAATGTGCGCAGCAGATGATGAGCTAACTGAGGAGGCGATCTCTGCGGATGACCGATGAGTCGAAGAGTGAAGCGCATCAGAACCAGTGCATGGTCTGACTCAACGCAGGTAGTTCAATAGGACCTGCATTTTTGTATTGAACCACGCCAACGGTAGCTTATAGCTATGTGGTCAATGTGGGTCAACGTTCCCGTTAAGCTAGAACACCTTGTAGCCGATCGACGAGAGCTGTGTCGAAAGTTGATACTATATAAGAACAACCGATGATCCGCGCAGAACTGAAGTAGTCGATCACCGTTGTCTGTTCGCTGGGCGGGGAGAGCAGTGTCCTCGACAACCTATGCGTTAAAGCCACCTGGCAGCACTATAATATCAGAACTGCCGCTCAACCAAATGAGTTAGGCAGGTTTGTCGTAAAATTCGTCCTTTTGCGAAGTGAGACTACCGTAAATGATGAACAAACACCTTTTTGTGTTGCTGCCCTTCCGAACACTGACTGATCCCTGGAGCCTCATTGCACACCAACGACTATTGACGGGTATCCAGTCTATCATAGAGGCTTCAGCTTTATCGTTTATTTCGATTCTTACACCATGCTGACCCAATGAGCGGGCTTCGTCATCTCCTGATGTGCGAAGGAAATACCTCGAGGACAGGCCCGGCGCACTTCGGTGGCTTATGATACTAGGATCCTGAATTCGTGTCTTCGATACGCAACAGAAATCGATTTCTGAAGACTTCATTGTACGTGCAAGACACGCTTGTTTGACCCACCTGCATGAGAGTCCTCACGTTGAAGGCCCTTAGATTGAGAGGTTAACGAGGCTTCAGAATCTGCACTTTATTTAGAGGAAAACTATCTACAGTGCTATTTGGTAATGACCTTTGGTGAATTATGACCAAGTTTTCTGAGGGAATGTTGCAGGTCGGAAGAAGGGGTAAAGGGAGAAGGTTGGGTATGGAAGACAAAGAGTTGAACAAAGGTGGGGATATCTGAGCAGCAGCCCACTTGTCACTACCCACCCCGCTCGATGCAATAGGCAGCGTGATCCTGAGTATCCTGTGCGACGACCGATGCAGTATGAAATTATTTTTTGTTTCTGTGTTCATTGGAGCTTTGTGGATGGGTACTGCCAGGGTGTCCAGTCACTAAGCAGGAGAACGATTAGGGTTCTCAACCAAAGCCTTTGGGTTTGACAAGAACCTAACCGCAAGGTAGTGGTTAAGGCGCATTGGAGGTCCTTTACTTGGATCAATTACTCCTCCAACACGTTTTACCGACTTAGATGCCAACTCAAGTCGAACTCCCCAACCTGGAGGACCAGGAGACTGGACTTTATTTGACCTCCACCCATTGACCCTCCAGGCATGATAAGATCTTTAGCTGGACAAAAGCCATCCTGTGTAGCTTGTTGGGTCACAGAGGTGCACAAGCCATCACACCATCACACTGGTTTTCTCTGTCTTTGTTTTGTTTGTTTTTCACCCGGGCAAGAACATATGTTCTATTGGGGTTATGCGTGATTTAGTTAAGTGACAATGTGGCAGTAGCATGGGGCATTGGTTGAACTCGTGAGCTGTTCACTCGCTCGTATCAACGTTCCTGAAGCACAAATAAGAACTTCAATTTAATCAGGCCTTTGTTGTCCACTTTGGAAGCGGCGTCAGCTAGTTGAAGTCTAAGTACGAAGCACTATAGAACTCTACGGGATGGAGACGCTATTTTTACGAATCTCTTATTCTATATACTGCATCTTATTTATTTAATATAATTGTGTTCTGGAATGGAGCTGAGGTCAATCAATTGGGAAATGCAGAAATGGAGGGGGGCAACGGCGGCGGGGTTTGAACTCACAACCTTCAGATCGCTGTTTCCATGACTGTAACCACTTGACCACTACCGCCTACATCGATGGTCATCGAAACATACATTTGGATCCCAGGACACCAGTCCTGTGCCCTTTNTCACACGAACTATCAAATCTTCACAATCTGCCTGTCTTGTCCCGTCACCGTCAAACAAGTGTTTGTTTTGATTTTCCCGTGTGCGCTCTGGCTTTGGGTGTGGTTCATTCATCCTGTTCAGTACGATGTGCTAGCCACGCTCCCCATCCTCCGTATTGCAGGAGAAAAAAATAAACCAGCTCGATTTTTCCTCGCTCGATTGTGCGCGTCCATACATAGTATGACAAAAATTGCCATGGTTACGCAAAGTCCATTGGCCCTTTGGTCCGTCCGAATGTGATTCTCTCTACTAACCAGCTAGCAATTGTAAATCCCTCCTCCCGGAGTGAGAGGGTGTTGTGTGTGTGCTGCCCAAGGTCAATTGGAAACGCTTCTGTACTACTCTAACCTGAATTGCTTATGGTTGATTGGAGAAATCCAGTAAACGATCATCTGTTGTCTCAGTACTTTCCTGGCAAACGGGAATACTAAAATAACCACTTTCTCTTTGAGATAGAACTAATCTCTTTGTTCCTTTTTCAAGTAGGAGGGAAACTGTGATCCCGGGGTCAAGAAATTTTAGGGCACGTGAGGGAACTGAAATTTTGCGGGATGATAATCAGTGTGAAATAACTCGCGAAAGTGCTCTGTTTAAATACAAGGCCGGTGGATTGATGAATTGGATTGAATTTAGTTTACACTAAAATTAGATGGTCATGCATCACCGGGACCATGTCTATTCTAATTGACTTTTGGAATAAACTTTATCCCTCTGTCATCTTAGATTAAAATACATTAGTGTAAACTTTATCAATCCTTACTCGATCGGTTTCCATCGAGATACAGGAAATTGCTTCATGATTTCCCACAGTATCCGACTGCTTGTCTTAGTCCATCCAAAAAAGGACTGCATCTCATTCAGTAAGATCACCGAAGTACGCTGCAATATATATATATATATATATATATATATATATATATATATATACAACTGGATGCATGATACGATATGACATACTAAATTTTCGGATAAAGCAATGCACTTCGTAA